AACACTGGTGCGTCCAATTGCGAACCTTGCGACGCCCGGGGTTTTACATTTTGGTCCTACTGAGCCGTGAGAGTTTGAAACACTAAAGTTCATCACCGCCATTTCTTGTCACATAGAGCGAGTTTTTTTGGACACTGCCACAAGTTTGACACCCGCGCGGTTTTTTCATCAATACAGTCCATTGAATCTATCAGCGATACTTGCCACATCAGCGATACTTGCCACATCAGCGATACTTGCCACATCAGCCGCGGTCAACGGATTTGCCCTAAACCTAACAAAGACATCACAAACCGCACCTGTGCATCAATCAACAAATACCACTTTCTATTGAGCTTCCTCACACCAAAGTCACCGATGAAACAAGGTACGTGGTTACACACATATTCAAGTGCACTTTCAAAAAAAAAAATAAAACATCATAAATCTATTTATTTTGTGAGCAATTGTGCTATATTTATATTGCATAGAAAACACACGCAATTGCAAACGAGATTCACGCGGGTGATTTTGTGAGGAGCGAAAATTTGTGCATAGCTTTTAAAATTACCAAACGAGCTAATTCCGTCTGTCCGCGAGTGACAAAGACGGCTCAGATTGGTTGCAAAGTGCACATTTTCAATTGCAGTCAATTAATTTTCAGTTGCGTTGATATCATTTGTTTAATTCAATTAGTTCAAATAATTTCCCGAACCGATTCTGTCTGTCCACTGCTGGTAACAGACAATTGAAGATACACACACATACACACATAAACGACAGTGAAAAGAGGTTATCAGTTGCAATTCATTTGTAATATATGTAATTGACTCTGCCGGTCTTTTGATTACTTCACCACGGATTTAATTTTTATTGTTAGTAAAACGTATTATTACTTGTGCGGCAATAGTTGCAATAAATTCGCGAACCACATTATAATCACTGATCGTCGGAGGACACATAACCTCTTTGTTTGAAACGTGCACGGTAATTTGCCTTTAACAATTGCACTTTCTTCACAAAATCACTTCTGCGTGTGGATCCCTTGCAGTATTAATTTGCGAGTATTATTATTGTCTTGTGAACGTATTTGCAAATTACACACATACTTAATAGCAGTTGGGTGGCGAGTCACTTTTTTATATATACAGCATATATACAGCTTTATATATACCAATCCCTGATAATTGAAAGAGAGAAATATATTGAGTTAAATAAAGTTTTACCATAACTATTTTATATATAAATTTAACGGCTACTTCTTCAATTCCGGAAATTATATCTTTTGTTTGGCGTTTCGACCACAAGAGTTGGTATCTTTTTCAGCGGCAGAAACTTTCGTTTATTGAATACTTGGCGAACAAATTCGATAATCTAAGCATTTATTTTTGTTTAAGAGTAAGGTTGCTATCACATATTAAAGCACATCGTCCAATTTATCTGTGATTGATTTTAATTCAAGTACCATTTTTAAACATGGAGTCGTTCATTCGTTTGGCAGAGGCAATAATCGAATTTGAATCCGATTTTAGCAGCACGCCACCTGCAGAGCAAAATAAACATGGTCTTGCAATACAGCAAGACGAACTGAAAGATATGTGGGAAAAAACTAAACAAGGGTATGATACTATAATAAACAGAGAAGGGTTGTCGAAAGAAGACATTAAGGTCATAAGGAGAAAACATAAAAGCTCGTTCGCTAGCTATGTTAAATGCATGTCTGCCATGGCGAGTCAGTCCGAAACGCTTGTTAACGCAGAAAAGGATGTACAGGATCAGTCGGTCCGTGAACACAATATCCACCTACCTCCGTGTGATACCGATGTGTTCAAGGGTGACTATCACGGCCATATACATCCTTAACAAGCGCCTCACTCCGGTTGAGAAACTATTTCATCTCAACCAAAAGACTCAAGGGGAAGCCAAAGACATCGTGAGAAAGTGTCCACTCACAAACGAAGGCTTCCAAACAGCCTGGAAAAGTTTATGCGAGAGATATGAAAACAAGCGTATCCTCGTAAATACACAACTGAAAATACTTTTCAATTTAAATTCAGTGGATAATGAGTGTGGTAGCTCAATAAAAAGGTTGCAGCGGGATATAAATAATTGCTTATCGTCCCTAAACAGTCACCAAATTAACGTTTCAAACTGGGATGCAATTATAGTCTACCTCTGCTCCACCAAACTTCCAGAAAGTACGCTGGCTCTATGGGAACAAACCATAGACCACAAAAATGATATACCAAAGTGGGAGGATATGGACAAGTTCCTATCCAACAGATTTCAAACGCTGGAGACTTTATCAGGCTTAAAAAATTCCAAAGCTGTGAGAGCGCCAAAGCCGCAGCACACACACAAACCAGCAGAAGCCTCCCCAAAACGACTTGGCGTTTTCCAAGCAAGCGTGACCAAGTTCACTTGCATAATGTGCCAGTCCAATGAGCACAAGTTACGCAGCTGTTCCCGCTTCTTAAAGATGACACCATCTGAAAGAATAGAGTTCATGAAAAACAATAACTCTTGCTTGAACTGTCTTAAGTCTGGACATACCGTGTCAAGATGCACATGCTCGTTTAATTGCAGCAAGTGCCACTCCCGACACCACACGCTCCTGCACCTTGAGACTGACCAGTAAAACCCCGGGCGTCGCAAGGTTCGCAATTGGACGCACCAGTGTT